AATTTTGCAATTGGCTGCTCCTTTCTTCCTGATGAGAAACACTCCACTTCCCTGCAGAATGTCCCATTCTCCAACTGCTTTCCTTCTCCTGACATGTTTTTACCATTCCTCGTTTCTCTTCCCTGAGGGGTCATTGTCCCTCGAGCAGCAGAGGGATGCTGGTGGCGCTGGTGGCAGCAGAGGGATGCGAGCAGTGCTGGCAGTGCTGGCAGTGCTAATGCAGCAACTGGCTGCTTGTCAGAAGCGTTTCGCATTCTGGGAAGAGCTCCGGAATCATTGCCAAAACCTCCCCTTGGCCAAAGGACGCTCAGCTGAGCTTCCTCGCTCTATCCCAACCCCATCCTCATCCCGACAACCCTTTCCTGCTGCCTGCCTCATCCCATGCTCATCCCTGCTCCCCCTCCTCGCTCTCCGTCCTCACCCCATCCTCTGCCATCCCGCAGGTTTCCCGGCACGGGGCCGCTTCCCTGCTCCGAGCGCGGTCTGCCGGGCTCTGCTGTCCTCCAGTGGGGAGATTTGGGATCGGCAGCATCCAGACCCCCTCCGATCTTCTCTTCACCCCTCCAGAGCCCTCCGACACCCCATACCCCTCTCCCCCGGGATCGGCTTTCTGTTCCAGCATCCCGGCTCCTGCCCCCGCTCCACCTACCCCTCCTGCCCATGGTGTTCTAGGGTGACCCGGGGGGGGAGGAGGAATTCCCTGCTCCCATGTGCTCCACTCAGAGCATTCCTCCTACTTGCCCCTGCTCCATTATTCTGTGGGATTACACCGCGGGAGTGTTCCAAACAAATGTTTGAGATCATTAAAAATATCACCGCCAAGGCGATCAGTAAAAACCACATTTAATATTAAGCGTCAACACAACGGAGTTCAGTGGCCAGGTTCACTCCAGCACTGACCGGACAGGCACAGCGAGGGAAAAAATCTTTACAAAGCAAATCCAGTCAATGAAACAGGAAATATGACACGTGTGTGGACGCAGACAAACAGTCACTGCAAGGTCCCTGTGAAAAATTCCCCTGAAAGGCAGTGAAATGCTCACTCTGGATGTGTTTGCAGCTCCTCACCAGGAGAAGAGCTGAGCCTCGAGGAGTGAGGCAATTGGCCCAGGAGTTGTCAGGCTTCAAGGATCCTCTGAGTGGAGCAAATGGGAGAGTTCCCAGCTCAGGTGACTCAAGGAAACCCTCAGGCACCGTCCCGGGGTCGTAGAGCAGAGCAGGGGAAGGGATCAACAGGCTCATACCCCAGTGTCCAGAGCAGCACCATCGCTGCTGGCAGGGTTTTCTTTTACCTCCCCAAACACCCTCTGGAGGGCTTTCCTTAGGGACTGAATGGAGCATTGTTTCCAGCAGCTCCCCATAGAGCAGTCCCTCCTCCAACTCCCCACCAGGAAGTAGATTAAAGGTTTGATGCTGCTGTGGATGCAGATGAGCAGTAAAACAACTTGGAAGGACACAGTGATGTAGTCGAGCTCCTGCAGGAAATTGCAGAGGCTGAGGGGGACAGCAAAGAGTAGGACAATAAGCACAGTGAGGAGGATAACAATGTCGAGTCTCTTAGGTTGCTGGTGCTGGGGGCCAGACTTGATCTTAATGAAGAGGATTGTGCTGGAAATGATCATGGCTGGGGCAAAGAGGAAGAGGTTGAAGGCATACATGGAGATGAGAGACGCCTGGCAGTGCTCGTTCTCCTGGCAGAGGCACAGAGAAGAAACCGTGACAATGAAACCGACGGACAGAGCCCATAAGACGGCGTTCACCACCTCCAAAAGTTGCTGGGTACAGTGCCTGTTGTACCAGAGCGGGCAGAGGATGGACGTGCACCTCTCGATGCTGACTGCTGTCAGCAGGTACAGCCCCAGGCTGTAGGGGAGCAGTGACAGCAGGAAAAGTATCCTCAGGTAAGTCAGAGGAAAGATGATGGAGCAGGACATGGTCTCCAGCAGGTAGAGCAGAGTGGAGGGGACCATGAGGAGGAGGAAGAGGAAGTCGACGAAGGCCAGGTCAAAGATGTAGAGTGAGATGGAGTTCCTTTGCTGGAGCCAGATGACAGCCCCATTCCCAGCCAGCCCACAGAGGCAGACGAGCAGCAAGACACCATCTATGGCCACGTTGGTGACATCTGTCTCACAGAGATCATCTCCAGTGGGTGAGACAGGAGATGGGGACACGGTGGTCACCTCCATGGATGGACACTGGGCAGGCAGTGGGATGTGGTCCCTGGCTGTGGTCAGAGTGGATGGCAGTCAGTGCTTGGAGAATCCCGGGATGGA